ACAATTATCTAATAAGCAACTGAATGCCACTCGACATATAGAATTATCACCTCTGAAAATGTACAAAACAATTCCCAAAACTCGGAATACCGGAAAATTTTTTTTTTTTTTTTGGGTGCATTATAATTTTGCTTATATGCAAGTAAAATTAATCGAAGTAACTGCTTATCGAAGCCTCCTCTCGCCACAAAGGTTCAAGAACGTCGGCAGTCGCCCCCTCAGTCTCCACCCCCTAGGAACGAAGGGATGAGTCCGTGTCAACCTCCAACAGCCTCGGAGCCTCGAGACTCGTCTCGATATCATCTCCGACAAAAATTATTGCCATCTCGTGCAGCGAAAAGTCCCCTTCCGCCGCACCAACGGCCAGAGCGACTCCGTCAATAGTATCCACGGACCTCCTCTTTCGAGGTTGGAGGTCTCCATCACTAGGCAAAGGCTCATCGTCCTCGTCGATGAGAGAGTATGAAGGAGGAGTTGAAATCTCCACGGCCAAAGTGGAAACAAAGTTGGGCGCGGTAATAGGAGGAATTGAAACAGAGATAGGATCAGTTGCGGTCGAAACATGGGCGGAAACTAAGGGCGTAGTGGCCTTCCTCTCTCGAAATGCCGACGTCCAAAAGAAAGTTCTTGCTAAAATTCTCTCTCGAAATGTCGACATCGAGTACTTGCAGTGCCATGGTCTTAATGGTGTATGGGATAAAATCTATCTTTAGAATACTTAAGTCAGGATGGCATTAACGTAATACTCCCAGGCCGCCACGTGTCGAAGTGGTTTAAGGAACAACGAAGGATGTGGTCGAAGAGTCAGCAGGGATTGAGATCGAGAAGTCATCAGGGATCGAGACCGGGGTCGAATACCCTTGACAGAGTTATAACGGCTAGTTTCAAGATAGGACATTAAAGAGAATATTCTAGTGGATATTCTCTGCACTTGTACTATTAGAGTTTCTGGGAACATGTTCTGTATAAATAGAAAAAGACACAATGATAGGGGGCATGAGATACTCACTTGTAAAATATATTTTGACTTTATAGAGAGAATCTAGTCTTATTAAAAGCACATAAAAATAACCTTTTTACTAAGATTCTTGCCTATACTTTTCTACTGGATCCGAGAATATCTCGGACATGCAAAGACTTATCCATCATTCTTCATTGTCAGAAAGAACATCCATTGATTTTATCCTTTCTCGGGTGATTCATTAGCATTTATTTATATAAATGCCATCTATTGCTATTCATCACTATTTAATGATACATTACTTTTGTAAGGATTCCCGAATATTGTCATTATTATGCACTTTCATAACCTTCGGAATAGATCTACATGCTACCTATCATAATACCAAGAATTTTGTCTTTAGGATATTATTATTAACCAAGATTAACCCTCATTTGCATAAATTTAATTAGTTAAACCAAGATCTATATTTTTGGTCAAATAATTCGGCGCCGTCTGTGGGGATTTCTTAGTTAATTTTGTAGTTTCCTTTAGATCTACTACTAACGCAAGTCACTAACCTCACAAATCCCAAGATCTTCTGGTTTCTTTGTACGTACAAAAACCTACATGGCAGGTAACCAAGGAGAGAGGACAAAAGTAACGGGTGATCTCCCTAGCAACCTCATGAATTCTATCAACGAGAGTTGTGAAACTCTAGGCGAAAACCTGATGCCAACTGCCTCTCCTGGGCGCGAGAGGTCTCCCCCCTTCCTCCCCATTGTAGCACAACAAAATTCAACAGAAAAGGAGCTTCTACATCTATAGAAGAAGGGACGACACCGGCTGTGAAAAAGCTCCTCGAAGCAAGGCTGACCGATACGCTAGTGAGCATGCTCAACAGGCCCGCTCCAGGAACGACTACAGAAACCGCAAGAGCGTGCACGATACAACAAACAGACAAACAGTGCAACTGGCCAAACCCTCCGACAACAGGTATAACTCACAATATTACTAACAGTGCAGGTGATAGTGCCCTCGCTGCCATTTTAAAGAGGATGGAGGAAATAGAGAATGAAAATAAAGCACTCTGAGACCAGATGAAAGAACACCAAGAACGAGTCGACATGATACCGGACGCTCCTATGTTGTTGCCAAAATGGGATGCCAGCAAGTTTGTAGAGCAGCCGTACAGTGACGAAGCAGCCCCGCATGCCATACCAAAGACCTTCAAAATGCCGCCCTACCTCAGGATATACGACGGAACGACCGATCCCGAAGATCATGTGACCCATTATGTCACTACCGTGAAAGGCAACGACCTTGCCAAGGAACAAGTGTCATCTATTTTGCTGAATAAGTTTGGTGAAACCCTTACAGGAGGGGCATTAACATGGTACTCACTGTTACCAGCCCTCTCCATAGAAATGTTCGAGGAAATGGCAGACAAGTTCGTAACCGCACATGCCGGAGCCAAGATAGTCGGAGCCAAGAAAGCCGAAGCAAGAGTAAATGACATATTCGCTGTCAAGCAGTCCTTGGGAGAGGTACTGAGGGACTTCCTTGCCTGGTTCAACAGGGTGAGGATGACTCCGCCGAATGTGTCTGAGGGGATGACGGTCGCAGGGATGGTTCAAGAGCAACTAGAAAACTATTGAGCCGATTGATGAAATATCCTCCAACCACTTGGGACGAGATCCATAATGCTTATTGTGTCGAAGTCCGAGCAGATGAGGATGACCTCCATGGACCAACTCATCGGCTCATCTCGGTACAATCCGAGTCCAGGAAAGAACGAAGAGACAACGTTAGGAGGTACCACCCGGTCTCGCGACCCATCAGGGAACGACACCAGCCATACATCAGGTCCCCCGCCACATCTTCCCTCCACTATGAAGAAGGCCCGTCTAGGCTGAGGACTGGGACTCACCGAAATGAGAGAGGTATGCCCCCTTATTATCTGCTTACAATTTTTTTGTGTCACCTACAAAAATAGTCTATGCTCTTGAGAAGCTCGGAACAAAGGTAAAGTGGCCGTCAAAGATGAGGTTCGACTCAAGCACCAAAAAATCTGACGCCCTCTGTGAGTTCCACCAGGAGCGTGGGCACAAAATAGAAGATTGCATAGTCCTCAGACAAGAAGTCGTAAACATGTTGCGGCAGGGACACCTCAGAGAGCTGTTAAGTGACAAAAGGAGAAATAACTTCGCCGAAGGACTTGAACACCAAGGTCCGCTGAAGCCGCCATCACCAGCTTGTACTATCAACATGATCATCGACGGTGGTGATGATGCCTCCATCAACGGCATGAAGTTTACCACCACTCACAAGCTCAAGCGATCTATCACCCGCGAATGGTATGACAAACTCGAAGAAAGTATCACCTTCAATGAATTAGATGCCGATGGTTTGACTTTCCGTCATAACTATGCCCTCGTCATTACTTTACGCATTTTAGATACTGATGTTAAACGTATAATGGTGAACGATGGAAGTGGAGCGTGACTTATCCATCCCCGAGTCCTCGCCCAAATGAAACTCGGGGACGAGATAGTGCCACACTGCATCATGCTAACCGATTTTAATAATGTATTTGAGCGGACATCGGGAGAAATTACACTCTCCGTCTTGGCCGGCGACGTGATGCTGGAGATGACATTCCACATCATGGAGCAGGTCACCATGTACAATGCCATAGTGGGACGACCGTGGATACATCCTATGAGAGTCATCCCCTCCAGCCTATACCAAGTAATTAAATTCCCAACAACATGGGGAATATTCATCATACGTGGAGAATGGGGTACGTCCAGGGAGTGCTACCGCATTGCCTTAGGCAGCACGATAACCCAACAGAAAAAAGACAAAGAAAAATAGGCATAGCAATCAACAGGGCCTAGGTAGACACAAGATGAGATCAGGGACGTCATCATGGATCCCAAAATGGTCGATGTTGCGGAATCGACCATAGAAGACCTCGACCCCATCCAATTAGACTCCAATGACTATAGCAAACAGTCCTACATCGGCTGTAAACTCCAAGAGCCAGGTAAATCCCATATATTCTTAATAACTAATATAGATTTGTTTGCCTTCAGCCATGCAAATATGTCAGGCATTCCCAGGGAGATCGGCACACACAAATTAAATGTCGACCCGTTCTACCCCCTAATAAGGCAGGTCAGACGTAAATTCAATCCTCTATCAACGATGTCGTGCGCGATGAGGTGGAGAAACTACTAGAAAATTGTTCCATCAGGGAATCAAAGTAACCCAAATGGATCGCCAACGTAGTAATGGTCAAAAAGAAAAATGGGAAATGGCAGATGTGCGTGGATTTCACGGACTTAAACAAAGCATGCTCGAAGGACTCATTAATGTTACCACATATCGACCAACTTATCAAGGGAACGGCCGAACACGAGCTGCTGAGTTTCTTAGATGCGTACTCAGGTTATAACCAGATATTATGGAAGAATAGGACCAGGAGAAAACCACGTTCATCACCCACCAAGGAACATACTACTATAGGTTCATGCCATTTGGGCTGAAGAACGCAGGATCCACATATCAAAGATTGGTCACGAAGATGTTCAAAGACTAGCTCGGCACAATCATAGAAGTATATATAGACGACATGTGGTCAAGTCCGTAAAGGAAAAGGATCATATCGACCATTTAAAGGAGGCTTTCGACATACTAAGGCGGTACGGAATGAAGCTAAATCTAGAGAAATGCGCATTTGGCGTAGCCTCTGGAAAGTTCCTGGGTTTTTGGGTGTCACAACGGGGATCGGGGTCAACCCAAACTAAATCAAAGCTATCGAGAGGACATGGAACTCTTGACTACCAAGAAGCAAGTCCAAAGGTTGACCAGTCGAATCGCCGCCCTATCAAGATTCATCTCGCGGTCATCTGATAGATGTCATAAATTTTTTTGCATGCTCAAAAAGGACAACGGTCTCGAATGGACTCCCGAGTGCATACAAGCTCTGCGAGAACTGAAGGCATACCTATCATCACCACCCCTACTCTCAAAACCCAAACCTGGGGAATACCTCCTCCTCTATCTAGCCGTCTCTGAAGTAGCGGTAAGTGCAGTCCTGATTCGCAAAAACAAAGGTACGCAATCTCCCATCTATTACATTAGAAAAATACTCATCGACGCCAAGACGAGGTACACGCACCTCAAAAAATTAGCTCTGGCATTGGTCGTAGCTTGACGAAAGCTTAGACCCTATTTCCAGTGACACCTTATCTCGGTCGTTACCACCTTTCACCTGAAGAGCATTTAGCATAAACCCGAGCTATCGGGGAGGCTGGCCAAGTAGGCCATTGAGCTAAGAAAGCACTATATCACATACCAGTCGCGAATGACGATAAAGTTGTAGGTGCTCGCCGAATTTTGTCGCAGACTTCACTGCATAGATAACGCCTGAATTCGAAAAGGAAGTCGTCGAAGCTTCCCTCCAAACACAGGACCTATGGGTCCTTTACAACGATGGTGCATCAAACGCATCGGGACCTGGACTAGGACTGGTACTCAAGGTCCCTACAGGCGAAGTAATTCGCCAATCCATAAGGTGCCCAAATATGACTAACAACGAGGCTGAGTGTGAGGTCATAATTACAGGGTTGAGGCTAGCACTCAAGTATGGGGTAGAACGGTTGAGACTCCATTGTGATTCCCATATCGTAGTCAACCAAGTCACATGGCCTTTCCAAATCAAGGAACAAAGATTGAAAAAATATCACACCGAGATCTGCAAGCTACTGCCTGAGTTTGACGAATGTCATCTCGACCAGATCCCACGTGCGTAGATGCCGAAGCGGACGGCCTCGCCATACCGTCCGCAACTACCAAAAGCATCATGACCAGGGAAAAAAGTGTAGTCCACCTCCTCAACTCATCACTAGACAAAATCGAGGTAAGAACCGTAAGCTTAGCTTGGAATTGGCACAATCGTATTATCGCCTACTTGCAAAACGGCACACTCCCAAAACAACAAAAAAAAGCCAAGAAACTAAGAATGCAAGAAGCCAGATACAGTCTCATCCATAGAGACTTGTATAAGATGACTTACGGCGGCCCTCTAGAAAAATGCTTAGACCCAAACCAGACCCAGCGCATCCTCGAAGAATTCCATGAAGTCATTGCGGTGCTCACTCCGGCAATCGAGCACTCGTCAAATGCCTCATACGGGCAGGATACTATTGGCCCACCATGAAAAAGGACGCCTCAAACTTCGTGAGGAAATGCGAACAGTGCCAAAAGTACACCCCAATGATTCACCAAGCAGGCGAACACCTCCACTCGGTCACCTCCCCATGGTCGTTCATCAAATGGGGAATGGACATCGTAGGCCCCCTCCAAATAGGACGAGGTAATGTACGATTCCTTTTGGTTTTAACTGACTAATTTTCTAAATGGGTAGAAGTAGGAGCGTTCTCCTAAATACGAGTACAAGATATAATTACCTTTATATGGAGGAACATCATCTGTCGATTCGGCCTACCTAAAGAGATCAGTTGTGACAATGGACCCCAGTTCATGGGAAAGAAAACCGTTGAATTCTTTGAGAAATGGCATATCAAGAGGATACTTTCAACCCCATATCACCCAGCAGGTAACAGACAAGTAGAGTCCTCCAACAAATCCATACTAAATATTATGAAGAAAAAGCTCGAAGACGCCAAGAGACTATGGCCGAAAATACTGCCAGCAATATTATGGGCGTACCAAACAACTTCGAAGACGAGCACAGGAGAGACATCCTACTATTTGGTCTATGGGACCGAGGCAATAATACTCATCGAAGTCAGAGAACCCAACCTAAGTTACTCCCACGAAAACGGTACGAGTAATGACAAGAGTAGAAGGCAGGAACTTGACGAAATCGATGAACAAAGAGATATGGCATACATAAGAATGGTCGCCGAAAAACAGCAAGCAGAATGCTATTACAACAAGAAAGCAAAGATATGGCCGTTCAAAGTAGTGGACTATGTGCTAAAATCCAAAATTCAAGCGAGCAAAGACCCACGGGAAGGCAAGATGGGAACAAACTGGGACAGTCAAATCACAGCCAAAGCAAACAAGGGTTCATTCCAATTAGAGATTATGGAGGGAAAGAAATTACCAAACAATTGGAACATCAGCCACCTCAAATACTTCAACTTCTAAGAGTAAAAGTGTCCCCCAAGTCGTACTCTTTTTCCCTCACTTGAGTTTTGTACCATTTGGGATTTCTCAAGGAGGTTTTTAACGAGGCGGCGAAGGGAACACTTTGAGTCGAAGTACACGAGGGAGGGATTATTTTTACTCTTTCATTGTTCGACTCCTCGATACTCTCCAAATCAAACAATGAAGGGATTACGTAGACTGGACTGGGACTGGAACGCCAGCCAACACCCAAAAACTGTAACTCTCTACAAGTATGTAACCAAAGCAACAACGTCAAAGTAATAAGAAACTTATGTTTATCAGGACACCTTTTTGTGATAAGGTTATGTTCGACCACGCTCGAACAACACTTATCAGCCCTCGGTCATGATCTAATAAAAGGTTAGTTCGACCACGCTCGAACAACACCTACCGGCCCTCGGCCACGATTTAACAAAAGGTTAAGTTTGACCACGTTCGAACAACACCTATTGGCCATTGGCCACGATCTAATAAAAGGTTAAGTTCGGCCACGCTCGAACAACACCTATCAGCCCTCGGCCACGATTTAATAAAAGGTTAAATTCGATCAAGCTCGAACAACACCTATCGGCCCTCGGCCACTATCTAATAAAAGTTTAGATTCGATCACGCTAAAACAACATATTTTGGCCCTCGGCCACGACTTGGCAAAAGACCAAAATAAGCCAAGTTCAAACAGCACCAATTAGCGTAATCTACATAAAGAGGCACACCCGACTTATATAAACAAAAGGTAGATACGGCCCACAAATAGTCATCAACAAGGCTACGACCAATTATATGACAATGATAATGTAAAGAGCAGAAGTCGTAAACAAGCAAACGGCAAAAGAAAAGCACACGAGCAGAAAATCAAGTAACAAGTATGGAAGAAGGTACAAAAAACAAGTTCCCATATACAAATATCTGCGAAGTTCATTACTAGGGCTCTTAAAGAGGAAGACAATATAAAAGAAGTCTGAGAAAAAGGCTACTGGCCCTCGCCATCATGGGCCTCTGCGACCTCACCATCTCGACCCCCGTCGCCATCGCCACCTTCGCCCTAAGGATAAGTCGTATCATACCGGGCATTCTCCTCGAGTCGGTCCACACCCTCTTCCCCATCCTCCTCATCAGCCTGGGGCGTAACGGGATCGTATCCACAAGTGACTCGAGCTTCATGAACCTTAACCCGAGCATCCCCACGGGCACCCTCAAAAACAGACCCCGCCTCATACAAATCCAGAAACACATCTAACTGGGCCTACGAATGGATCCATTATTCATATAACTCCCAAGGTACATTGGGAAAATTGGAAGTA